CTATGAAACTATGACTACAAAAAGGGAGATGACATTTTTGATACTGAATGGCCATGATAATCTTTAGACTCCAGAGAAAACTGGTTAAAATGAATTCTTTTTGAAATTGCAAAACTGGTTCTTCTTGCACGTGTGATTAAAAAAAAATGTTGGCTTGTTAAAATACTTTTTTGGAGTTCCAGTTCTGCCTAAGAAACAAAAACAGGCCTAGGAAAAAAACTAAAGTTAAGTCTTATGTCCTTGGGACACATAGCCCACTCTATCTGGGACTCCAGCCATGAAAAAATTGGTAGAACTCAAACCAAGAAAAAGAGAAGGGGCAAAGAGACATTTTAAATATCAAGCAGAAAAAAGAAAAAAAATTAAATATCAAGCAGAAAACTATGAGATCTCTGTCTATATGGCTATCAAAATTTATGTATCTCAGTGTGTATCTTTGTCCTTGGACAAAATTGCTAAAGGCTGATTGGTCAATGAGCTCTATTTAATTGGCCTAAAGAGAAATAAGTGCTATGAATCAATTCTAAATTCAAAAAAATTAAACTAAAATGAATTTCAGACTTGTGTAAACTGGGAAATATTCACTATTGAATTGATATCTGGTATTAATGTTTATTTATTGACTTTGTGAAGATACTTTTGCAAATGACATAGCTTTGAGTGGTTTATATTTACCAATCTACAGAATGATGATATAAGGTACAGTTCATGGTTGCTAAAGGAAGGTAAGCTGTGTTTTTAATAAAAAGGTATAAGGAATGGAATTAGATTCTATTAAGGAAAAAGGAAGTACATCTGAACTTGCAGGTGGCTGTTTTCTGAATGGGCAAATAGAGTGATGAATACAGAAGTGTAAAAATGTTTGTAGCAAGTAGAAGAGAGTTTTGTACAGGATACAAGTTTCATAAGACATTAAATTGCCTTTGAAATCTTTCATTGTTACTTTGACTAAATGAATAACTACTGTTTCACAATGAATTTAAGCTGGTACCAATCTGGAATTTGATTTTCTTTTCCTGTTAAAAAAAAAAAGTCTTCTTGGAATATGGCTTTGATAATAGACTGTGTAAATTTCTTTGTGCATAAGTCATTCATATTTGCTTTTAAAATCTTTTGTTACTTTGATAAAATGAATGAGTGTTATTTCACAATGATGTATGGAGACTATGACACACATAGACAAAGCTCATTCTGCTTCTACAAAATTAACCCCTCATCAGGAAATTTAAAATGGATAAACAATGGCTATAAACCAAACAGTTGGGGCTATGGGAAATCCAAGATGGCCACTTGGCTTTTCCCAGCTCCCTGACAAACTTTACTTTTTATTTGATAGGATAAAGCCTTTCCTGGCTATGGGGTTAATAATCTCACAATGGAAAAAAAAAAAAAGGGTTAAAATACATTTTCTGCAATCTCCAGTGATCCGGGCACCCAATTTATTGGACAGGTCATATAGACACTGGAAAACATTTCATGAGCTTCTTGGAGACCATCACTTTCACTGATGTCCTTTGTGGTCAGGCAAGGACCACAGAACAAAGGAACTGGTTACATGAGATTAAACAGACTGCTAAGTATGAATACAATTTTCATGACTTTTTGTCTGACACTTTGCTGCTGCTGCTGCTAAGTCACTTCAGTCGTGTCCGACTCTGTGCGACCCTATAGAGCCCACCAGGCTCCCCCCATCCCTGGGACTCTCCAGGCAAGAACACTGGAGTGGGTTGCCATTTCCTTCTCTAATGCAGGAAAATGAAAAGTGAAAGCGAAGTCGCTCAGTCGTGTCCGACTCCCAGCGACCCCATGGACTGCAGCCCACCAGGCTCCTCCATCCATGGGACTCTCCAGGCAAGAGTACTGGAGTGGGGTGCCATTGCCCTCTCCAGTCTGACACATTACTGGCTTCTAATCTTTGTTTTCAGATATAAAAAAGCTTTTCTCCTCAAGTCACTGATGGTTTAAAACAATTTAGTGATTTGCACCTGTGGGTAAAATTAAAACATTTTTCTTTTCTCTCTGCCTCATCCCTCCAGAAACTCAATACACATGAGTTCTGAACAGCTTCATCAAGGTAAAAAAGACTATCTCCAGACATATACAAAAATCTCAGAGTATACTGGGGAGCCCAAACTCATAGATGAGGAGATTAACAACAGGTCGGTGGATTTAAAAAATGCAGTGCTACTCTTGGAAGATGAAGTACAACGTCTTAAATTATAAATACATTTAAAGTGTGATTGGAACATTACTACTTTCTGTGTAACCCCCCAGGAATATAACCAATCTGAACACTCCTGGGAAAAAGTTAGACGGCACTTGCTGGACCATACAGCTGACAACCTTCTAGATATTAAAAAACTACAAGCAAAAATCATTGGCATGCAGCATGGTTCTCTTAGACTATTAACAGGTATAGATAACCTTCAAGGAATAGCAGAAAGCCTTAACTCATTGAGTCCTCTTGAGTGGATCAAAGGCATCAGAGGTGGTCTCATTGAAACACTAGCTATGTATTGCAGTTTGTTGTTTTAGCTATAATCTTTGGTTTAGTCCTCAGATACATGTAAAAATCCCTCCGAGAACTAATGAAGAAAGAAATTGTTACAGCATCATATTTTCTGCTACAAAATCAAAAAAGGGTATATTAACCCCTGAATATCAAGCCACCTGTTATTCTGGCTAAGCCATGAGAAAGTCACCATGGGAAAAGAATAAAAGCAAAATATAGCAATACAGCATAACGCAAATAAAAGTACATTGGGTTGATCAGTTGGGTTTGTCGTGCCCTGCTAGGCTAAAGGAAAAACATAGTGAGGACCTTGGAATGCCAGGTCAGCATATGTTCAGAACACTGCTTGTGCACACCCTAAGATTTTTTCCCAAGGCATATGAGGGTCTATGTACAAGAAAATAACAAAGATGGTTTAAAGTAATCAATAAAATGGGAGATGTGACCGGGGACACAGGAGGCTAATGATTTCATCATAGCACAACAGATACTTTCTGCTTGCCAAGACACTCAGTAAAAGTGATGTAGCTCTGAGGAATGGGGCTCTTGACTCAAGAGGTCTTGAGTTCCCCAGTCCCATCTTTAAAACTTTAATTCTGTCTCTAGTTTCTTTTTCCCAAACTGTGCGTTGAACACTTTTGATCCCTACCTTGCTGTGCTGGCCGCAGCAGACATAAAACATCAGAAATTCATTGTTTCACATCCTGGAGGTTAGAAGTCTGAAATCAACTGGCAGGGCCATGTTCTCTTTGACTGCTGTAGAAGAGAAACTTGCCTGCCTCTTCCAGCTTCTGGTATTTGCTGACAGTCCTTGACATTCTTTGGCATGTAGAGATATCACACAACTGCCTTCTTTCTGTGTGTCTCACTCCTCTTCCATTTTTTTTTTTAAGATTTTTTTTTTTTTGATGTGGCCATTTTAAGAGTCTTTATTGAATTTGTAACGATATTCTGTTTTATGTTTTGGTTTTTTGGCCACAAGCCATGTGGGATCTTAGCTTCCTGACCAGAGATCAAACCTGCACCCACTGCATTGGAGGGTGAAGTCTTAATCATTGGGTAACCTGGGAAGTCCCCTTGCTCTTCTTATTCAAGGAAGCCAGTCATATTGGATTAAGGGCCAACCTACTCCAGTATGACCTCATCCTAACTAATTACATCTTCAATAACACTATTGCCAAATAAGGTCACATTCTAAAGTACTGGGGGTTAGGACTTTTTTTTGTGGTTGAGGGTCATTTTTAGATATTCACGTTAAATATGTTTTTGAGGGTTTTTTTCCAATTCAATTTATAACAAGAATGTTGATAGAAATTGCTCAAAAAAGAATTCTGTGGTCAAATGAATTTGAAAAACACATTTCAAACCCCATGACGGTAGGATTCTTGGCTGTAGTACTTGCGGGTGTGTGTTTTGGGGGGGGGGGCCTTTAATTTGTACGGTTTCTCAGACATGTTTGAATACTGGCTCCTTTTTACTGTGGGATTAACATTCTGTGTGACGTATGCATCTTAGGCCGGATAGGAGACCCCAGCACCCTGGTAAGGACCCTCCCTGCTCTTCTGTCCCTTACCTGCTGTGTGTCCTCAAGACAACTCTTTTCTTCTCTGAGCATAAGTGTCCTTACATCTTGAGAGTTTCACAGAAGGAACAGTATACTGTCCTCTATGGGTTCCTTGTAACAGATGCATTAAATGAGATCGGCTGAAACACGCCTCGGAGAATACCTGGGACAGACGTTTACTTAATAGTAGTTGCCTTTATGTTCACCAGACAGTTTCAAATTTCTTGGCATTTTTATTAAGCATTTTGAGGCTCTCAGGAGTAATTCCTAAGCCAGGACAGTTTCCACGAGTAAGGCTTTCTTTTTCACTTTCGCCTTCCTTTTGCCATTTTTCTCCCTTTAGGAGAATGTTTTCCTTTTTGGTAATAAAAATTGACCCTCAGGTAAATATGCAACCCAGCTGTACTTATGGTAAGTCTCCAACATTAGCAAAGAATGGGTTGTTTCAAGCTGCAGTTCCTTATTCCGATCTTCCACCCCAGTGAGGAGAAGAGGATGTGATCACGAGATCGCCCGCAGAGGGGAAATTGTGAAAAGGACCTTGCTCTAGAAAAGCAGCCCACAAGTGCCACAGCTCTCAGAGGAGGGTGAGCTTCTGAGACGACTCATCTGTAAGGGCACCTGGCTCTCTGTCCATCCGACATGGAACCAAAGCGGATCAGAGAGGGCTATCTTGTGAAGAAGGTAAGCAAAGTGTCACCTGCAATGGTGACCCTGGGCATAGGGTGGGGGAGGATTGGGGTCCAGCTTTGAATTTTCTACTGCTGAAATAGGAGAGTACTGCAGGTTGTGGAAGGTTGTGGGGAGAAGCAGTATGCATTCCACTGCCTTCTGGTTCTTAAAGGTGGAAGGTTCCATCCCAGGTGTCAGCATAGCTTGATTATGTGGGACTGAGAATTCCAGAATGCAGGGTCTGGAAATCCTTCATGTTTTTAGAGCATCCTTTTCAAGAGTCATGCCTGTGTGTTATGCCAGAAGACTCAAACTCTTCGGCTATAGAGGTTATTACTAGGAGAAACTACTCATTTGTTAGTTAAATTCTTCCTCCCCCTTTTTATTTTTTTGGAAAGGAAGAAGAAGCGAATGATTAAAGATGAGCTGATATAGTGATACAGTAATGGTAGCTTATTTATCTTTTTTTATTGGACTGAAATCTCTTTATTCGCAGTTCTTAGTCAATTTGTATAACATGCTGTTAAGATGGTAGGTAGATACACCATTTTAAAGGCTAGAAAATAGAGACAGGAGTTTACTCAAAAAAGCTTAGTTTCAATGGTTAGGCATCAGGAAACTGAATTTCATTAGCACTGCTGGTTTGTCTTCTGATGGTGGGTGTGTGCCGCGTCACTGTGAATCTTCCCAGGAGGGTAAGTTCTCACATAGGTTTGTTGGCATCCTGTGGACAACACCTTTATAAGCAAGTAACTCACACTGACCCAAGTGAGCTCAGGGTGTTAGAAGTGAACCAAATTCAGTACATTCCTTTAGAGGCCCAGTTTTTTAATTGATGGAGTGCATAGTGGGACTCTGTTTAGGCCATTCATTGTTTAACCTGAATTTTAGCCTGAAGTGTTCTACTAAGAGGGGGTCAAACTGCTCACATTGCTGCCTGATTCTGTTTTGATTTAAATCTAGAAGGGACCTTAGATCATCTGACCTCATTCCCTCATTCCCTCATTTCCACAAGAGTAAGCTGAGACCCAGAAGCTGGTGACTGCTCAAAGTCACATGGCTGTGACAGTGTTGGGATCAGAAACTTACTCCCTGTCTCCTGGCACTGAGCCTGTCTCCAGTACACTGGGATCTTCAGAGTAAATTCAGCCTAAATTAGGGTTTGTAATGTGTCTGTGGTTGTGAGAGTTACAAGTAAGGTCCGGAGAATAAATGAGCCCTCAGCTGGTATTCTGTCTCATTAGCCATATTTTGAAACATCCTTTGGAAAAGATGCACATATATACACAGAGGTGTATGTAGATACTTTGCAGTAGGCTCTAATAATCTCTTTGAGAACCAGTAATAATTAATGTTGCTATTTCTTTCCTGCTTGCTTAGGCTAGTATCCTGGCAAGAGCAGGTGAATGGCAACATTTTCTGCAAAGGTTTTCTGTTTGTTTTAAAAACAATTTAAGCATCTTGTAATTAAATTGCTCTTATATTGTACACTTGTATTTTTAACTCTATAAATTAGTTTCTCAGAGAGAATAAGTGACTTGCCCATATCCAGCAACTGATAAGAGGACAATCTGGGATTCAAACCCAGGCTTGCCTAACTGCAAAGCCTACCACCATCTCGTTGATCCCAGGAAGCCTTCTGAAAGGCAGGTTTCCCCAGTCAGCTAAAGGGAGGTGAGATGAACTTTGCAGAGCCAGAGTGGGGCCTGGACAAATTGGACTGTGGGCAAGAGTGTATGCAATGACGTCAACCTCTCTTTGTCTCTGATTAGGGGGTTACTTCAGACAATAAGCATAAACATATTTTGGAGGTCCTTGAGAGCATACCACTGATTTGGATATGTTTGTAATCATAGCTTAAAAGAAGAGAGAGGAGCAGGTTATATGCAACCAATAACTTAGACTCCACCAAGTCACCTCCCAAACTAACCTCATTTCTACACAATTTATAGAATGAACTGTTGTTTCTATGACAACCAATCCAGGCATCATGTTGAGTGGAAAGACTGGTCCAAAGAGTGTATTAGGAATTTAGGTGGCCTGTGAGGCTGGGAAAAGCACAGGAATAGGAGTGGTTAGAGAGAGGATAAGGGACTTTTTTAGGAAAGAAAATGGCTGGAAAAGACGGAAGCAGAAGGAGGAAAGCCTGGGGCAAAACAGAGAGCAGGACTCAGTGGTCTCTGCCCAGCAATTCTTCCAAACCTTGTCTTCCAGATACCGTGAAATAATCCCCTATGATCTGCACCCACTGAATTATCATTGTCAGAGTAGCCAGCATATGTGGCCCTTACCTTGTAGCAGGGATAGATCTAACCATTTAATGCACTTTATGTACATTTAATGGGTACAACCACTACCTTTACTTTATGGAAGAGGAAAGTAAGATCTGCCTTTCATGGACTGTAGCCATGAGATTTCCCAGGCAAGAGTACTGGAGTGGGTTGCTATTTCCTTCTCCAGGGGATCTTCCCGATCCAGGAATTGAACCCACGTTTTCTGCATTAGCAGGCAGATTCATTACCACTGAGCCACCGGAAGGTGAGGTACAGAGGTAAAAGGCCTTGCCTAAGGTCACGCAGCTGTTAAGTGGCAGAGCTGGACTGGAACCCAGCGGTGTGATCCCAGTGTCACAGAAAGCCGTGCCTAACCATGTTCTATGTGGCCCTCATGGGCTCAGACTGCAGTGATTTTCTTTCCCAAAGTGCCATTGTTGTGATGGGTGGTACCCAGGAGAACCTTAGGCTAGAATGACTTCACAGTATTGCCTACAAAACTATGTTATCTTATCTGCCTATATGGTAACCATTTTTTGAGCATCTACTACAAGCTAGGTGTATTATCTCAATAAGTGTATTATCTCATTTAATCTTTGTAGCAATGGGAAATTGGTACTATATTATTTTCATTTTACAAGCGAGGAGAGTAAGGTTTGGAAAAAAATGAAGTAACTTGCCTAAGGCTATGTAACCTGGAAGAGACAAAGTTGAAATTTGAACCTAAACCCCTAAAACCCCAGAAACCATGCTATTAAACATTTGTGTCATCTCTCTATTGCTAACCTAATATGTTTTCACTGAGAAATTGTCCAACCTGGAAAAGTTTATTTATATAAAAAAATATACTGCTGAACAAATTAGTTTCCTTGCCTTCAAAGTATTCAAACAGGAACAAAATGACCACTGATCTGGGATGTTATACCCATGATGTCATGGATCAGACTGGATGACTAAATGATGCCATCTATGATGTAGCAGAAATAAGGACTTCATTGACTGTAACACCAAACTTAAAATAACGTTTCCCACGAGCATGGGAGAATAGTGATACTGACTCATAGTTCTGCTTTAGTTCAATATGTAGTTTTGACCATCAAATAGTTTTCCTTTGAATTCTAGCTGTATGTCAACATGGGAAAAGAGAAGTTTGAGGAAAAGGAGAAGTGAAGAGAGGTGTTTGGGAGGGGCTTCCACACAAAATCAAGCTTCTCCACCTTCAACAATGAGTCATGACTTCTTTCTGTGAAATTGTCCATGTGTAGGAAGACCTGTCTCAGTTTGTGCATTATCACACTGACCTGGAGTTGCAGGTCAAGGTCACTCTCTCCCCGGTTAGACTGTGAGCATTTGAGAGTAAAGATAGCATTTTGTTCACTTTTTTACCACAATACAAAGGCAAGTGTCTGAAATGTGGGGGCTGCTTTATCATTTGTAGAGAAACCAATTAGCAGGGCAAAGGCTAACAGAGTTTTGCCAAGAGAATACACTGGTCATAGCAAACATCCTCCTCCAACAACACAAGAGAAGACTCTACACATGGACATCACCAGATGGTCAACACAAAAATCAGATTGATTATATTCTTTGCAGCCGAAAATGGAGAAGCTCTATGCAGTCAGCAAAAACAAGACCGGGAGCTGACTGTGGCTTAGATCATGAACTCCTTCTTGCCAAATTGACTTAAAGTGAAGGAAGTAGGGAAAACCTCTAGACCATTCAGGTATGACATAAATCAAATCCCTTATGATTATATAGTGGAAGTAACAAATAGATTTAAGGGACTAGATCTGATAGACAGAGTGCCTGAAGAACTATGGACAGAGGTTCCTGACATTGTATAGGAGGTAGAGATCAAGACCACGCCCCAAAAAAGAAATGCAAAAGACAAAATGGTTGTCTGAGAAGGCCTTACAAAGTGCTGTGAATAGAAGAGAAGGGAAAGGCAAAGGAGAAAAGGAAAGGTAAACCCATTTGAATGCAGAGTTCCAAAGAATAGCAAGGAGAGATAAGAAACTCTTCCTCAGCGATCAATGCAAAGAAATAGAGGAAAACAACAGAATGGGAAAGACTAGAGATCTCTTCAAGAAAATTAGAGATACCAAGGGAACATTTCATGCAAAGATAGCCTCAATAAGGGACAGAAATGGTATGAACCTAACAGAAGCTATTAAGAAGAGGTGGCAAGAATACACAGAAGAACTATATGAAAAAGATCTTCATGACCCAGATAATTATGATGGTGTGATCACTCACCTAGAGCCAGACATCCTGAAATGTGAAGTCAAGTGGGCCTTAGGAAGCATCACTCTGAACAAAGCTAGTGGAGGTGATGGAATTCCAGCTGAGCTTCAAATCCTAAAAGATGATGCTGTGAAAGTGCTGCACTCAATATGCCAACAAATTTGGAAAACTCAGCAGTGGACACAGGACTGGAAAAGGTCAGTTTTCATTCCAATCATTAAGAAAGGCAATGCCAAAGAATGCTCAAACTACTGCACAATTGCACTCATCTCACACGCTAGCAAATTAATGCTCAAAATTCTCCAAGTTAGGCTTCAACAGGACGTTAACTGTGAACTTCCAGAGGTTCAAGCTGGATTTAGAAAAGACAGAGAAACCAGAGATCAGATTGTCAACATCTACCAACATCCGGAGAAAAATAGTTGGGACTAGGAATTGGGGCAGAAAGCAAAGAACTAAAGAGCCTCTTGATGAAAGTGGAAGAGGAGAGTGAAAAAGCTGGCTTAAAATTCAACATTCAGAAAACTGAGATCATGGCATCTGGTCCCATCACTTCATGGCAAATAGATGGGGAAACAATGGAAACAATGAGAGACTTTATTTTTTTGGGCTCCAAAATNGACCAATCTAGATAGCATATTAAAAAGCAGAGACATTACTTTGCCAACAAAGGTGAGTCTAGTCAGAGCTATGATTTTTCCAGTAGTCATGTATGGATGTGAGAGCTGGACTATGAAGAAAGTTGAGCCCCGAAGAATTGATGCTTTTGAACTGTGGTGTTGGAAAGGATTCTTGGGAGTCTCTTGGACTGCAGGGAGATCCAACCAGCCCATCCTAAAGGAGATCAGTCCTGGGTGTTCATTGGAAGGACTGATGCTGAAGCTGAAACTCCAGTACTTTGGTCACCTGATGGGAAGAACTGATTCGTTGGAAAAGACCCTGATGCTGGGAAAGATTGAAGGCAGGAGAAGGGGATGACAGAGGATGAGATGGTTGGATGGCATCACCAACTCAATGGACATGAGTTTGAATAGGCTCCAGGAGTTGCTGATGGACAGGGAAGGCTGGTGTGCTGCAGTCCATGGGGTCACAAAGAATAGGACATGACTGAGTGACTGAACTGAACTAAACTGTAGAGAAACCAAAATGTAAGGGGTTCGTATTATAGTAACTTAAAAAAATTTCTAATGGAGTCATTTTTAGACAGTCATGTTAAACATGTTTTTGAGGGTTTTGTGGGGGTTGTTTTTTTTATTGTTTTTCTTGCAGATGAGGCCCAAGGGTTCAGATGAGGATAAGGAATTAGAAGACTAAAGGCATAATAGGAACAACAGGTTTTTGGAACAGATGTGTAGAATCTGAGGATTGAAAGGAATGTGAAGTATTTTGATAAGTATTTAATTGAACTTCTCATCTGTGTCCTGCACTTCTTTTACTAATCTGTTCACAAACATGCTAGAAGACCTCTTGTGCCAGGGAACTCACTAATTTGACTTTCTCCTGTAAGTTATGCAGTAAACTGTTTTTTTTCCCTGAAACTTTCACCTGCTGGGACTTCAAAACAAGTCAGTGTTTCACACCTCTGAAGACAGCCCTCATGTACTCTGTCTGTCCCCTTTTGAGCTCAAACTTGTGAGTTCCAATAATTCCCCAAGAGAGATGCCATTTTCTCTATTTAAAAAAAAAAATTTCATTGGCATATAGAACAGGCTTCACTTGATCTGCCACTTCGAGGTTTCTGGAGCTCAGTTTCATCCTCCAGGTATATCTATATGGTTAGTCAATCAGTCGTGTCCGACTCTTTTGTGACCCCGTGGACTGTAGCTCTCCAGGCCCCTCCGTCCACAGGATTTCCTAGGCAAGAATACTGGAGTGAGTTGCTGTTTCCTTCTCCAGGGGATCTTCCCGACCCAGGGTTCAAACTAGTGCCTCTAGGGTCTCCTGCACTGCAGGTGAATTCTTTACCTACTGAGCCATCACGAAAGCCCTGGGGTATATCTATAAACACAGACTTACAGAGACTAGGTAGGTTTTATTGGATGCTTACTATGTTCTGGATATTGCCCTTAGCAATTTACATAGATTATTTCAGTTAATCTGCCAGTCATCCTAAGAAATATGTAGTAGCATTATTCCCATTTGCCAGATGTAGCAAATGAGGTTTAAACATTCCTCAAGTTCACATTCCAAGAATGAGGCAGAGCTGGGATTTGAGTTTGGGCCACCTATCTCCATGGTCACTACTGGTTAGGCTCCATCTAAAGTTAGAGCCTTTCTTACTTTCCTATGCTTCTATTTATATAGCCCACAATTGACATCAGTCATTTTGACATCCCACATCAAAGTGCTGACTCATAGAGCTTCTTTTTGTCCTCCACATGCCAATTTCCCCAAATCTTCATATATTTTATAAATCTTTTAAAAAGACACATTGAAGAACAAGATTACATTTTATTTAATTTGCATTTGTTTGAATGCTATTGAAGCAGTGCATTTCTACATTTATTGGATCCAGATGTTTTTCTCTTAAAAATTGACTGCTTAAAAAAAAATTGACTGCTTATATTGTTTGTCCATCTAAAAAAATTGATAGGGTTTGTATATTTCTTATTGATTCTAAAGGGTTGAAAATATATTAAGGATATTAATCTTTAATTATATGGTAATTTGTTATAAGTATCTACGCCTTTTAATTTGTTTTTCAGTTGTTCAGGGATTTTATTGTTATTGTTGCTGTTTGTTCATTTGTTTTCTCATTGTACAAAAATTCAATTTTTTTATATGGTCAAATATCTTGACCTTTAAGTTTTCTTTTCTCGGTGTCATGTAGTGTCAGACTTTTATGCACGAAACTGGCCATTTCCATGATGATGTACAGTGACTCACTGGGAAACTTTAAATTTGATTCAGCACCTAAAACCTGCCAATTCTGACACATAATTGTATAGATTTTGGCCTATAGTGAAAGAAAACAGACATGTGCCACATATATATTTATTTATATGGATAAACCTTATATATGTACAGTGTCATAAAGCATATCTTTTATATATGATCATGCTATGATGTGATTTGTGATTTAGATATGTTTTATGATTGATGGAGTCACAAAGAGTCAGGCATGACTGAGTAACTAAGTACATAAACACACACACATGATTTTATACACACACACACACACACACACACACACACACACACACACACACATATATGAGGTTATGTATATAGCTGGCTAAGTGACCTAAAACTTGATTTAGATTCCAATATGACTGAAATTTATGTGAGAACCAGAATGAAGATGGCATCTAAGAGGAAGTGGAAAGAAGATAAAGTTGGGTATCAGGAGACCTGGATTATTATTTTGGTCTCACGTTAACAGGTCGAGTGTACTAGGCTTAGTTACTTAAACTAGCTTCAACTTTCCTACTTGTGTGATGAGGGTGATGGTAGATGATACTAAATGTCTTTCTAGTGTGGACACTCTGTGATCACACTTCCAGGTTTGCTGTTGTGTGAGCACCGAGATAGTTAAGGACAGAGAAGGGTAAATACAGGGATCGTGGAGGGGAGGGGCTGTCAGGTTACTCCAGGGAGAAGCTGGCAATGCAGAGAGTGATGGCCCAGAATAATTCCATCATGCTAACCTAACTAACCGCTGCCAAGGCTGGAAGAAAATCCCCACTTCATAAGCTCTCCGGATTTCTCTTGTTTTTTTTACCAATATCAGCCTCCTCAATGAGCACAATGGCCCTGAATCCCAAATGACACTCTCCACCGAGTGAGCAGACAGACCCCGAGGCTACATTTGAATTAGGAGAGCACAAACTCATTTTGAACAGTTGGCTGCATAGTAGTTTTATTTAAACTGTCTACAGAAGGAATGCAGTGTTGGCTGACTTCTCATTTTATGCCAGTGCCAAGGTCAAAAGCCCTGAGTGACTCTGGCATTTATAAATCTTTGATAGGTGTGAAGTAGAATCTAAAATTTGAGCCGTGAAAGGCGTTTCAGCAGTCATCTGGTCCAACTTCTACTCCTAGCTCTGTCAGTAGGTCTTTCACTAGTTTCAGATACTAGTGATTTTTTTAGACTTGTCTATATATTTCCCTAAAAGCACATCCCAAATTTTAATAAGTAGTAGTGTCATATTGTTAATTTGTTACTTTTCCTCAATTATTTTGAAAAATTTCAAACTCACAGAGAACTGGAAAAAATAGTGCAGTTAGCTATATACTCTTTCCCTAGATTTATTAATTGTTAATGCATGGCTACATTTACCTTATCACTCCATATTCCTATATAAATATATACACATATTTTTTTTTGCTGAGATATTTGGCAATAAGTTTCAGACATCTTGCTCCCTTGTGCCTAAGTGTATCGACATATATATTCTAAGAATTAGAACATTCTCCACAGTTTTCTTAATTGAATGTACTATATTGCTCTCCTGCCAGCCATATATGGGAGTTCCAGTTACCATCTTTGTGAAGTCTTGCTTTTCTCAATCTTTCAGAATTTTAGCTGCTCTAGTGTGTGTGCAGAGGTATTTCATTGTGGTTTTAATCTGAGTTTCCCTGATGAATTGTGATATTGAACATATTTTCAGAGTCTTTTTGGATACCATCTCTAATGAAATGCCTCTTCCAGTTTTTTGCCCATTAAAAAATAGATAATTTGCATTTTTTTTCTGATTGATTTGCAGGAGTGTTTTATATTCTGAGTTTGTCTCCAGTAGATGTAAAATAGAAAGACATTTGATTGAAATTATTTCATGTATTGGCATAGCGTCTGACCTTGCCCATTTTTTTAAAAAAGGGAAATAATCCAGTGTTAGCATGAATAGTTATTCTGCCTTTACAGAAAAGAGATCGTGTGTTTTAATTAGAAACTTTTTTTTCAGTAACTAAAACAAAGGAAACACTTGGACCAGCAAAATGATAGTTCCATGAGTACTTATCTTCTTTGCATAAATAGTCTTCCTTTTGGGCAACTGGACCTTTATATAGAGGCTCTTGGTATTTTAAGATAAGCAGCAGGATCTTCTGGGAACTGGTTGATAATACCATTTTTGTGGTAGTCATGACAGGGTGACAATCAGGAGTTCAAAGATGAGAGGCGAAGAACACTATTCTCTTCTTTTTCCAAAGTCCTCCTAAAATATAGACAAGAAAGAGAGACTTCCTAGTCAGAATGGTTATCTGTTACTCAAGGCGCAGTTGGCATCAACCCAAACTGAAAACTTTTGAAGAATTGACATGATAGCATCCTGCTGGCATCAGAGACCATTCTGAAAGTGATTTTCATCCCTCCTAGCCATGCCTATACACAAGGCTGTGCTCTGAGTCTCTTGTTGACATTCATACTCAGATAAAATCTGATTCGACCAAAGGATGGAAGTAAGTGGAGCTTCCATGCTGCCATTAATGGCACATGCTACTGATGGTGGCGCTTTTTCAGTGAGTCCAGCTTCAAGCACCAGCTACTACGCAGTCTGAGTTGGCACTTGAGGTAGATTCTTTTGCCATCCTTAAGTTGAACTGAAAACAATGGGCAGGGTTAGGAGCAGAAAATACGCTGCAGAAAGTCAGTCTGAAACACACAAGAAGGAGAGTTGAGATCCATACCATATTCCCTTGTAATGACCCAGGAGAGGCTTATGGGCTAATGATAGATGTGTATACATTTTATATTAAAAATTTTAAAGAAGTTCCAGAAGAATGGCATTCCCCTCCTCCCCTGGTCACACAAATGTGGGTCACCTGCATCCACACTGGCCAAAGTTAGGCTGTGTACCAAACCCTGTGGCATCTACAGAAGAGCTTTAGAAAACATCCTTACCCGGATCTTTCTGTTGGCATTCACAGGGGAGCATGTTCAACTCTTGGAAAGCCATGTGGGTTGTATTGTTAGAAGATGGAATTGAATTCTATAAGAAGAAGAGTGACAACAGCCCCAAAGGAATGATTCCCTTGAAAGGAAGCACTCTGACTAGCCCTTGTCAGGACTTTGGAAAAAGGATGGTGAGTTGACGTCGTTAACTGTGATGAACACTTTGTCAGGCGCTGCCCTCTGCATAGCCTACTAATGTGAATGGAGCTCCCTGGGCCAGTCCCTCTCCGCACCACTCATCCTGCACCCTGGGCATTTGGGTCTTTCTTGGCTAGTCATTTCCAGAACAGGGATGGCTCAACTCCTGTGCTTCATAAACGCCCTCACACCCTTGAAAGGAGTCATTCCTAATGGGATGTGTTTTGATTTCAGTTTGTGTTTAAGGTCACTACGACCAAACAGCAGGACCACTTCTTCCAGGCAGCATTCCTGGAGGAGAGAGATGGCTGGGTTCGGGACATCAAGAAGGCCACTAAATGCATTGAAGGAGGCCAGAAGTTTGCGAGAAAATCCACCAGGAGGTCCATTCGACTGCCGGAAACGATTGACTTAGGGTGACTTTCTATGATTACTTTCCTTCACCCTTCCTTCCTTCCACCCCACTCCTTGAGGCAATCTCGCAGCAGACCCTACTCCAAGGCCTGCTTTGGGCACCTTCGAAGGCTGTGCACACCCTTACCAGTCCTTAGTACTTGCACTTGACGTCCTAAGATGTTTACCTGGCTCTGAAGGAGTGATCGTGGTGTCTCCAAAGCCTAAAAGCTGAGAGGAGGCATGGGAATTCCCTCATGTCTGTGTAATCTTTGCAGAGGGAAGGACAGGGAGAAGGAGAGATAGAGAAAAAGGAGGGAGGAGAGAAAGAGATAATACATCATTGCATTTATAAAATAGCTATAGTAAATTACTCTTAAAAGAAAGCTTTGGGATCTATACATAGGTAGGAAAAGATACGAGCTATGTGTCCAAGCAAGTAAGATTTTTCAAGTTCAAGTTCACACATTCAGCAGGCGTGAATCTCTCTCCTAGGCAGAAATCATTTGTGTCCCGACCTAGCTTAGTGACCTCTGATGTTGACTGGTGATAGTGGACAGGTGATAGTTGTTGCCTAAAGATTGATATCACTTAAGTCCCTTTCTTTAGGAGTGTCTTTATTTTTTACTGGCTTTTGCTTTTATGTGGCACGTACCCTGTAACAGGAGCTTTGCCAGGAAGAATTTCATATTGACTACTTACAGCATCCATCCAGGATTTTGTTTACCAAATGCAGGGAGTCCCTAGGAGGAGAATGGAAAAAGCCCCATGCACACCTAATGCAGGATTTGGCAGGTCATAGGAGTTTGATGAAGTTTGCATACTGAGCTTAGAGAGAATGAGCACTTTCTCTCACCAAGAAAACTTTCTGGTAAAGACCCAAGAGGAGTTGCCTAGTCCAGCTGTAGCTGCTGGGTGGGTGGTCCCTGTGACTGCATTTCTGGCCACAACCGTCAGAGCTAAGTGGGAATGATGTTTGTGCTACATGGAGCCACAAGACACACAAAATTGTTGCTTGCAATTTTTCTGATAAGGTTATCTTTATTATTCAAGGACAAAAATGAGAACATCTCACTATTTTGTTTTATCTCTTATAAATTTTAGGATAAAGTATAAGTTTAGTTAAAACATTCACTTTCTCGGGACTTCCCTGATGGTCTGGTGGTTAAGACTTCTTCTAATGCCAGGGGTGCGAGTTTGATCCCTGGTTACAGAGCTAAGATACCACATACCTTGCAGCCAAAAAACTTAAACATTAAAAAAAGAAGCAATATTGTAAAAAATTCAACAAAGACTTTAAAAATGGTCCACATTAAAAAAAAAAAGAAACTTTAACCCCTTGTCACTTCCCCCTGCTGCTGCTGCTAAGTCACTTTAGTTGTGTCTGACTCTGTGCGACCCCATAGACGGCAGCCCACCAGGCTCCCCGGTCCCTGGGATTCTCCAGGCAAGAACACTGGAGTGGGTTGCCAGTTCCTTCTCCAATGCATGAAAGTGAAAAGTGAAAGTGAAGTTGCTCACCCCTACACCCCACCAAAACACATTCACTTTCTTGGAGTCAAATGTCTACAACAGATGGTCTCTTAAAGGGTACAAAGAACTGGGACATGAATATTGAGGCCTGAGAACCTTTAATCTTTGACATCTAACTGGGGACAACTCTCCATCTCAGATACTAAAAGTTAAATCAACAGAATTGAGTGAATTTGAGAGCTATTAAATACCTTCCCAGTACATTTTGCCGAATGCTGTGCAGACCACAGAGTTCATGCAAGTATGAACTCTGCCTTCTAATGACCTACTTATGATCCAGTGGAGAGATTAGGCTCAGGTTTCACCTGGGGAAGGGGAAGCTTGTGCTCAGGACCAGCCCCTCCAAGCTGGCGAGTCCAAGAGGACGGGCTATACTGAACCGCTCCTGCTCATCTGTGTGTTTTCATCTGTGCAGTGCCTTGTATTTGTCCATGAAAGACACTGAAAAAGGAGTAAAAGAACTGAACCTAGAGAAGGACAAGAAGATTTTCAATCACTGCTTCACAGGTAAAAGGTCTTGTGGGTCTGATGTGGGGCTTCTGGGGAGGGCAATATGGAGGTCTTGCTTAGCCTTGAGTGTGTGTGGGGGGACGTGGAGTGAGGTGGGGGGTTTGATGTCATGGAACACAGACCGGTGGACCTGATCATTGGACTTCCCCAGCATGGAAAGAAAGAAAGGTAGGCCCATACTTTGTGGTTCAAGGTAAAATCTTAGAAGTTCCAGCTATATCAGTCAAAGGGTCACTTTTCCCCAGAAAATGGCAGGATGTTGAAATAGACATAGAGTTGAGCAAGATGATAAATAAGGATCAAGACACTGAATGTTAGATTTAAGTGACAATATTAGGGATGTCTGAGGCTGCATAATGTTTTGTTGTTCAGTCGCTAAGCTGTGTCCGACTCTCTGTGACCCCATGGACTGTAACATGCCAGGCTCCCCTGTCCTTCACTATCTCCCAGAGTTCACTCAAATTCATGTCCATTGAGTCATTCTTAAAAGAGGTATGTAATTACCTCCCTACCTCTTTTACAGGGTCACTGCAAGGCTTAAAAGCAGAAATGCACCATTAATTAGTTTTTCCTTCCAAAGAAAACTGGGCAAAGCCTTTTGTATATGAAATTCACGAAAGGTGCACTTATCAACTAACTGCTTTCACTCTTGTTTCAAAGATGGTATACCTTACTGGTTTGATGACCTGGGGCTTGTTAAGTTGATTCTTTGGTTGGCTATATTTGTACAGTATATATTATAGAGCACAGGGAACTATACTCAGTATTTTGTAATAATGTATAAGTATATTTAATAACATAAATTTATATATATGTAATATATATAAATGTTTGAAAGAAATTTGTTTTATTTATTTACTTCTATTGAAGTATGGTTACTTTACAATATTGTGTTTGTTTTAGGTGTATAGAGCAGTGATTCAGTTATACATGCACACACACATATATATATTCTTTTTCAGATTCTTTTCCCTTATATGTTATTACAAAATACTGAGTATAGTTCCCTGTACTATACAATAGGTCCTTGTTGGTTGTACAAAATATTTTTAATACAGAGCTTCATTGTAGCCTGCTAAGAATCCAGTTGGTGGGTCAATTTCATTTTATTCTTCTCACAGTCCTCCCTTGATTCAGAAGCCTGACTGAATGACTTCTCAAGGTCCCTGCTAGACCCTGCAAAGGTGTGACATTCGATGTAAGGGATGACATCAAATTCTAAATTAGGACATACACATACTAGCACATGCTGTTTTCTGCTTAAAAACTTGCAACAGCTCCTCATTGTCAAATTCTTAATGTGCCATCAAAGCTCTCCCCACGCACCCCGTGCCTTCCTCTCTTGTCTTCTCTTGTCCTCTGTCCACCAGCCCCTCTCCCACCATCTCCCAGCAGGGAGCCCTCATGCCTGTTTGAGTCTGTCCACACTGCTGCTGCCTCAGCTCCTGCTGGTTCCTCTGGCCCCTGCCTAAGCAAATGCTTGACAAACACTGTCACTTCCTCTGTGAAACAGTACCCATTGCCCCACCCAGCCCTCCACGCCTTCCTGCAGATTTGACCCAGCAGCTCCACTGCACTGACCCCACGGCAAGGCACTTGTTACAACACTTACTCATTACCCAGATCTCCCTTTTAGACTCCCCCGGGGGAGCCTCCCCAATAGCCATTACTGAACTTAGCTCTCAGCAGAAGTTCTGGGTCATCAATGGAAGAAATGAGTGGGTTAGTAAAAACGATTTCTTTACGCATGCATTGCTCCTTAAGGAGCATGTAGATGTTTTTTAAAACTGTTTACATGGTTCCTCTTGTATCTCACTAATTTCATTTTTCCTTTTTGGAGTAACAGAGACGATGAAATAAGTAAGACACCTGGGTGCCCTGCAGCTCTCTAGGGTCAACTGTCAGTGCCTTGTTCTTTGAAAAAGAGAGTTAACCTTCTTTCTGATGGTCCCATCCAGGTAACTGTGTCATTGACTGGCTGGTTTCCAATAAGTCCGTTCGGAACCGCCAGGAAGGCCTCGTGATCGCCTCCTCCTTGCTCAATGAAGGGTACCTGCAGCCCGCTGGAGACCTCTCCAAGAACGCGGTGGATGGAACTGCTGAAAACCCTTTCCTGGACAACCCTGATGCCTTCTACTACTTTGTGAGTGAGGGAGCTCCCCATCTACTCCTCTGGGCGTGGGGGTTGACCTGGGTGGGTTCTAGGTTGATTTCAGTTCATATCTGCTGATGTGAAAGAAAGCACCTAGCCCTACAGCTTTGGTCCATGTCCTTGACTTGACAGCTGTCCCTCTCCAAAATGCCTATCACATCCAGTGAATTAGTCTAAAGGAAAATACTGTTTACTTGAATAGTTTCATTTTTGTTTAAAAATTTGCTGTATTTATTTTTATTTTAAGCAAGACTTTCTTTTGTAAAAGCTTATTAGGCCCAAGAACATGCCAGGTAGGCCTTCCCTGGTGGCTCAGTGGTAAAGAATCTGCCTGCCAATGCAGGAGATGAGGGGTCAATCCCTGGGTCGAGAAGATCCCCTGGAGAAGGAAATGGCGACCCGCTCCAGTATTCTTGCTTGGGAAATCCCAAGGACAGAGGAGCCTGGTGGGCTACAGTCCATGGGGTCATGAAGAGTTGGATGTGACTTAAGGACTGAGCACATGCCAGGCACCCACTTAGTCAAAGTAGATCCAGTAATGGAAGGAAAAATAACTGGCAAAATTATGGCCCCTGGGAGTCCAAATATACATTGAAATACGTGACTCAATACAAAATATGTTCATCCTTATTCCCTCCCCCTGTCATCATGGATACCTCCAGTGGCATGCTTTCCCACAGACTGGGAAACACTGTACAGTACAACATGGACTTAATCTTGGGTCACATGAGCCATCCGGCAACAGTGGATTTCTAGGGGGATTCTGGCAATTTTATTTCTATTTGGGGTCAGAGCACTAAAGTAAGGAAGCTACTTATAAAAATGAAGTGAATGTACCAAAGAGAGTTTCATTTCACTTTGGGGAAGTTCCTCTGTCAGAATTTTTTTTTTCTTTGCAGAATTTCAACCTGGTTGTTTATAGCTATTTAAATGTAGGACTCTAAAAAAAAATGTAGGTCTAAAAATACCGAGCACAGTGGCTTGTGTGATTCATTGGTCTCGTGTAGCTGAGCAAGGCCCAGTTCCTGCCTGAACTCAGAGGATGTGGCTGGACCTGGGCTCTTGGTCTCTTAAAGTGGGGGAGCTGAGTGGCAGGGGGCATGTGGAGGTTATGTTGTATGCACAGTATCTTATAAACCAGCCAGCTCGCTTTCAGCGGTGTGGCCATGAGGTCCCCGGAGAAGGAAGGCTTTGAAGGGAGAGATGTGCTGAGCTAGACTTCTAATACAGCTTGGGGAACCCAAGAAAATGAAAGTATATTGACAAGATCATACTTGCACGGAGACAAGGGAGCATCTAGCAACAAGAAATAAGCATCTAGGTGGAACTTCCCTGGTGGTCCAGTGGTCAAGACTCTGTGCTTCCACTGCAGGGGGTTCTGGTTTGATTCCTTGTTGGGAAACTAAGATCCCACAGGCTGCATGGTGCAGTCAAAACAAAGCAAAACAAAAAAAGAAGAAATAAGCATCTAGAAACAAGAAAAGTTGGGAGGGGAAACAAGCTAACCAAGGAATAGCCTTTAACATTCAGGTTGGGATGTGAATCACAGGGAGAAGGAGTGGCTAGGGGGAAGGGGGAGATGAAGGTGGTATAATTAGCACTATGCCTAAGACTGGAAAAATAAACTGGTTCTTTGGTTCCCCAACAGCCAGACAGTGGGTTCTTCTGTGAAGAGAATTCCAGTGATGATGATGTGATTTTGAGAGAAGAATTCAGAGGAATCGTTATCAAGCAGGGATGTTTACTGAAGCAGGTGAGTGGCCACTATATTCTGCCCTAGGCTTTCTCCCTAACCGGGCCCTGTGTATTCTGTAGGATCAAACGGTATTTTGTATTCTATAGGATCAAATGGTAATTTGTTTGTTTGGTGAATAGTCAACTAGAGAATGAAACTGACCTGGTGAAAGACAGACAAATAGTTAAGTAGATGATCAAAGTGGCATTACGTCAGGAGGACTGAGGCAGGCAGGGCTGAAGCACCTAAAAATAGGGAAGTTTCTATCAGTGTTTCAGGAAAGTGCTGACCTTTTCATTAGTTGGAGGATATCAGTTGGCAAAGAGATGCCATCCAAAAGACAGAGATGTTTCACAATGAAAATTCTTCCATTGGCCTGTCCTTCCGCCCTACAAAGTAAGCAGGAAATAGAAGCAAGCCGCACCCAGAAGAGGAACATCATAAACAATTGAGACCAAAAAGTACCATTACAGACTGTGGGGAGGTCACGGTGAGCCCATACCCAGGCCAGCTCTGCAGGAGAGCAACAGACGAAGGTCAAATCCGGTCAGAGGGCATAGACTCAGTCATTATCAGGTGTCAGCAGATACTGGCCACTGTCAGTCTGGGAGACAGGGGCTGGGATGAGCTGAAGAACTCTGGTCAGTTACCAAGTGCAAAGGCCTGGGACACCATGAGGAAGGAGAACCCGATGGCTGGAGCTGAGTGAGGAAGCCAGGGTCAGCACCTGGTAGAGAAGAAGCAATTGAAAAATAAGAATATTCAGAGTGAAACAACTGATGCTAGTATATGTTGTCATAGAAGCCTAAGCTGCTTTATGAGGCCAAGGTCTTGCCCCTTGTGACTGTGCCATGAGCTGTCTCAAAGGCACTGCTCCGTATATGTTAATAAAAGAGAATCTGGCTGCTGCACGATTTCTGTGCATTGTCTATAGATCTCATGGGACTGAGAGATTCGACTTATCTCATGATAGAAGCCTGAACTTCTGGGTGAAGAGGGAGGAACCAAAGTTGAGCATATATTTACGTTTAAAAAGGAGAACTTTGGGTTGACTAAGTATAGATAGAGATTTTTGAGTTTCACTAGAAGTAGAGCATTAATGCGGAAAACTTACCTTCACATTATATCTTGAGAGAACAGGGTCCTAAGAAATAAAAAAGCCAAAGCTTAGAAAGAATTCCAGACTATTCTAATAACTTGTATGCCCACTGACTAGATTAAAGAATGAGCAAAGGAGCAGGGTCAGCCTTACACAGGGTAGGTTCTAGAGGTTGCCCATAGGCAGAGTTTGCCCATCACCTGCTTCCTGCCTGGTTCTGACGAATGTTTGTATGTATATGGCTCTGATCATAGGCTATTAAGGCAGGAGTCACTTGGGAAGGAGTTTCATTATTTCCTTATGCTATCTTCTATAATTCTATGTTATTATCAGCCATGGACGACTTTTCTTGAATTAATTGATCTGACATGTCTTAATTTAGAGTGGAACCCTGAGAAAACTGAACATGAAGGTTGAATAGGGATAGTTGAAGTCCAGGCTGGACTGGAGTGAGGTCTGGGCAAAGGATGCAATGGAGATGCTGGATGGTCAAAAGTCAGCTGAGGGTTGTGGTGTGAGTGTGTGTTGAAAGTAGTGGGACTAAATGTAGGCTTACTCTTCCATTTTTCTTCATCTTCTTTACGTGGTCGTTGATAGGTACAGGTCAGCCTTCAATAGCTCAGGTGGTGTACATTTGAATCCTTCAGGGATCTGTTAAAATTGCACCCCAGGCCAGTTAAATCAGAGTCTCTGTATGTTACAGGTCCCCAAGAGATTCTGGTGTGTGGCCAATGTAAAGAATTATAGAGTTAACCATTTTCTTAAAAGTTAGTTTATCCTATTGTCAAAATGTCACTGTTTAAATAGTCATAAACCTCCTTTTAACATGAAGAAAACAATTTTTTTTTCATTCAGGAATTTTGTTTTTTTAATATTCCCCCCACCTCTAATTTTTAGGGGAGGGAGAGGGAAGAAAAACCTCTTCTACTTGAATTGATAAGTAAAGTTGCTCAGTTGTGTCCAACTCTTTGCGACACCATGGACTGTAGCCTACCAGGCTCCTCTGTCCATGGGATTTTCCAGGCAAGAGTACTGGACTGGGTTGCCATTTCCTTCTCCAGGGGATCTTCCTGACCCAGGGATCGAACCCAGGTCTCCAGCATTGCAGACAGATGCTTTACTGGCTGAGCCATAGTCCCCCTTTAATGTTTCTCGCCCCTTATCTCAGTGGTTTATAATCCTAGCTCATAGCAGGATCATCTGAGAGATTTTTGAAAATCTTTTTAAGTACCAAAAAAACTAATCAACCCTGTGTCTTCTGTTGTGAGTTAGCCCGGGTTACCTGGTAGAAGCCTTATCTCAAAAAAGGGCACCTGTGCTCCATACTTCATAGGTGGGAAGGAAATGCATCCATTTGGGGGTCAGTCCCTACCCTCATTCTACCCCCTTCACTGATTCCGGAGGCATTAATTCTGTTTGGGGGACATAGCCAGTTTGAGGATGAATGATACTGGATTATATTCAACATAACCCTCTTTATATAATTCATTCTGTGACTATGATGAATAAAATACCTCATTTCTCAACCACATGTAGATTCTTTGATGAGAAAGGACAATGTTTTATACATACTTTTCTTGTATCTGCTGCGGAGTTCAGCACCCTTAGTCTGTAATAGACAGCAAACATTTTTAGAGTCAACTAAGTTGAATGTAAGTACACCCGTTCCTCAGTACCCACAGAGGACTGGTTCTAGCACCCGCCATGGATACCAAAATCTATGGATGCTCAAGTCCCTTATATAAAATGATGTCGCACATAGAAGATGTTGATAGAGCAACAACAATTCTTGGAAACCCCAGCTGTGCTTGTATTCCTTAAAGTGCCTCAGGAAACACTCAGTCAATGAAAGACAACTCTTCAGCACCTCACACCGTGTGCCAATGAGGACCTCAAGACAATGTGGTAGTTGGCCAGGGTTGGCTGATTTCACATCCTCCTGTACCTTCCTCTTCCACTGACTCCTGAGTACTTGATACTCACCCAGTGATTGTGTAAGAGAACATGATTTGTGTGCCTGTAGGTCTGGCGAAAATGGTGTGGGGCAGTAACCTTAGTGTTCTTAGCCTTTGGGTAACATCAATTAAGGCAAAGAGCAGGGACTCATAAAAAGAATTTTAGAATTGATGCTTTACAAAAGCCATATAATATTGCAGATAGAAATATTCTGTTTTCTCCCATATGACTCTTCAGTGTTTTTGGCTCCATCCTTCAGGCAAGTATAGTGTTCTTTGGAGATGAGCTCCTTGACCAAATGCTCTGCCAAATAACTTAAACCCATTCTTGAAAGTGCTCTGACCTGGCATTATGAAGGAGACATCGTTTGCTAAAATCACAGATGTTCCATTGCTTTCTATACAAACACAGCGAAAAACTTTGGAAGCTTTCTGTATGTGCCTCTTAATACGCGGTGCTTCAGAAATAACACATAATATTCTTCATGTTGGCAATATGGAAACTATATATTTTCTAATCTAATTTTTTTAACTTCTGGAGTTAAAAGTCACTTGAATTTACTGTAGGAAATCGTAGAATCAGGTTTAGCACAGTATTTTAAACAAATACTATCAGCTAATTGAAATAACTGGGTAATTCAAGGCAATTACAAATAGATACGAAGTGGCTCCCACTTGCCAGGCGTAGTGCTGGGCATGGGAGGAACAAAGAGAAACAGACACAAATCCCACAGTCTAGACAATGTCAGTGTTTGACATTGGAAGAGTCATTGGTTCTCTAGGGAAGGGCCAAGTCCTGTTCTTCCTCATTGTGTCTGTCACAACCACTACTGCTTCCAATTTCCATTGCTGCTCCCTGCTGTTAGTCTCTACTAATTTTATGTTGGAATTATTGTAATCATTTCTTGATGGTCTTCTTTCTACCTTATTATATTTCCCCTGGCTTTATCTTTAACCCCTAGCTGATCCATCCTATATTTTGTCACCATATTAATCTTCCTAAAATGTTACAGTACTCTTTTTGCTTCCAACTCAAAAGCTATCGGTGACGACAACCCCTGTGTCTTATTTTTACTGTCTCCTTCCACTTTTCCAAACTTGCCTCTGCTATACCTCATAACCCTGACTTCTAGCCTGATGGTCTTACTCGCCAGGGTCTGAATACGCCTTAGACATTCCCACCACTGCTTTTTCATTGTCAACAGTCTTCCCACCCACCTCTTTCTCACCCGTCTAACTCCTGTGTGTCCCACATGGATAAGTGAAGATTTTTATGAGGCTCTCTTTGACATGCCAAACCCACAATTATATATCCTTCATTTAAATCCTTTGAAACTAGGGCCTACTGAACAGCACAGGGAACTATACTCAATATCTTGTAATAACCTATAATGGAAAGGTATCTAAAAAAGAATAATATACATGTGTGTGTGTATAACTGAATCACTTTGCTGTATACTGGAAACTAACACAACATTGTAAATCAACTATATTTCAATGAAAATTTAAAAAAAAAACAAATGAAGTTTCCAAATAATAAATAGTAAATTAAGAAAAAATCCTTTGAATCCGTATATATGGAATCTAGACAAATGGTGCTGAAGAATTTATTTGCAGGGCAGCAATGGAGAAACAGACATAGAGAATAGACTTATGGACATGGGGAGAGGGGAGGAGAGGGTGAGATGTATGCAGAGGGTACCATGGACATTTACATTATCATACGTAAAATAAAATGAAAAATCCTTTGAAAAACTCTTATCTATAGAGATTATTTGGTTTGGACATTTGCTATTTTATATTTCCACATAGATTATAAACTCATTGAAGAGCAGGGCCATGTCTTAGATCTCTTGATAGCCCCACATTACCTAACATAGTATGTTATACATGGTGCTGTCTTATATGATGCTAAAGCTGTGAGATGATCTTAGAAATAATTTAACCCACAATTTAATAACATCTAAATTGTTCATAGGTTCTAGTGCTATCTCTGACAAGGCCTGGGTTGTGCCCTGGATTCTCCTGGAGATAGAATATCTTTATGCTTTTCTTCTTTCAATTCAACAAGACTTATCCTGTAGGATGTGTAGACTTATCCTGTAGGATGTGTACTGAGTGAGGCTAAAAACTCATCCTTCTGTTTTCTGTGTTGATCCTGGATATAGGGCCATAGGCGGAAGAACTGGAAAGTGAGGAAGTTCATCCTGAGAGAAGACCCTGCCTATTTGCACTACTATGACCCTGCTGGGGTGAGAAACGGTGCTCCATAAAGCCTCCCACGAGAAGCTTGCGCTGCTCCTAATCACGGGGCTGCCCAGGCCCTTCCTGCTCTGCACCCTTCGTCTTCACCCTCCCTCTTCTTTTTCCTCAACCTGCTCTACCTTTTCCAACCCCTTCTTATTGCAAAGATCTGAGACCTTAGGCTTTGAGGCCAGCAGAATCTCAGGGGATGGAAGAAAATATCATTATATGGTCATTTATTAGATCAACACACATAAATTTTTATTATTTATCCCAAGCTGATATTTTCAGAGGAACTCAACCAACCCACCACTGTGCTCTTGGTTTAATGTGCAAAAAAGTGATGATTCCTCTTCGAGGACTATTTCGATGAGAGCATCTTTTGAGCCCAATCGTGTAGGCTGTTGACTATTCAGAAGAGGGCTTTTTCCTTGATAAGTTGAGTCATGTCTATCTGGGTTGGGTCCTCAGCTTCTGCAGGGCTCTCTTGATCCCCTCCTATGAGGGTTCTACTACTATGTCTGTTGCTTGGGGCGAAAGGACTCTGGAAACACCTGGCCACTCTCCCACGGGGTGTGATGGTTCGGCCTCCCTACCTGCCCCGGCTGTCACTTTCCTCCAGATGTGAAGCTCAGGTTGACTGGCGTCTCCTCGTCCTCCCCGCCTCCCCATCTCCCCACCTCCCCGCTGTGTGAAGTGGGAAGAGGGGTGGAGGATCCAGAACGGGTTCCCTTTAATCTCCTTCCGCTCTTCTCTAAACCACAGTGAGCCTATGTGGCTTTTGCACCAAGAGGATCGAGTATACGCCTATATTTTACTTTGGAAACATAATGAAGGACTCCTTTCTCCTTTAGGGGGAAGATCCCTTGGGAGCGATTCACTTGAGAGGCTGTGTGGTGACCTCAGTGGAGAGCAACCCAGATGGTAAGAATGAATTTTGGGGGGAGAGAGGTGTGTCTCCCTGGGCTCCCTTCCCACACCTGTGCACCCTGAGCCAACAGCAACCAGTCCCTCACTCACTGCCTTACTCAGGCATGAATGAGTTCACTGTCTGGAAACTTCAGAGAGAACCAAAGCTGTTCTCTCTCAACTGCTGCCCTGGCTCTCTGGGTCTTGGGGAGCTGTAGTGGTTTTGTGGATGCCTTGAATAAATCCTAGCACAATGCTGAGAAAAACCCGTCACCTCAGAACCGGCTTGGGTGGGGAGACTTTTTACCTGTAGTGTAGTGCCCAGCCTTCCTCAAAGTGCACCTTTACAGACCAGGAAATGTCCCACAACAAGAGGAACATTTGTGCCGGGAGGCAGTGTGGGGAACAGGAAGTGCTCTGGGGTGATGTTAGGTCTAGGTTACTTAGTTAGGGGCACAATTTTGAGTGAGTTGCCTAACTAATCTGGGTCTTGGCTCCTTCTCTGAGAATGATGGAGTCCTACCAGCTGACTCTTGGGTCCTGATCACAAGTCTATGATTTGGTGATGAAATGACTGTCGTCTCAGGTGTAGGAATGAGTGAGTAGTGTCAGCAGGAGATGCTGTTCAGACCCCCAGAGCCTGGTTTCTCTTTGTCATTTTGGGCTAGTGATACTGTAGAGGTGGACTGGAAATGCTGCAGCTGCAAATGCCTAGATTTTAACTATTCCTGGATCTGCTCCCTCCCCTCTCCCCTTAGAGTCATCCTTCACTGTCAGGGTGGGGAGTGTGCTCCTTTTTGATCTGAGATGGATGTGTTTTGAGTCTTGCCACAGTATTGGCCAGTTTTCTGCCTTCTGATCTTTCAGTAGAGATGCTCACTTAGGGCTTGATAAAAATTAGTTTAGACTACACTGATGGTACTGGCGGCACATCTTTTTTTTTTTAATTTCTTTTTTAAGAAAACTAATATTGAGGTCCAGCTCTTGGTTTATATTGTGAGTGGAGGAAAGGTACTCACGGACACTATTACAGGTTATCATTATACACTGAGTGCACAGTGAGAAATTTAGTTTGCTTATAAAAGAAAATGTTTCTCCTTGAGTGTTACACTTACTTCTTAAACACACAAACACAATCATACTACATACCTGTCTATATAAGTACTATATATATATATAAATCATACATATATAAGTGTATAAGCATACAATAATGGTAAGTTTGAAAATCACATTTAATTTCCTTAGAACGCTTGGAAAATGGGGATTTCATTGCTTGCAGAAGGAGGGCGAGCTCGGTGGCCTTTCTGGTGCCCATGCTCACTGTCATCACTTTCTCTCTCACCAGGCAAGAAGAGTGAAGAAGAGAACCTCTTTGAGATCATCACGGCTGATGAAGTTCACTATTTCCTGCAAGCAGCCACCCCCAAGGAGCGCATCGAGTGGATCAAAGCCATCCAGGTGGCCTCCCGGACGGGGAAGTGAAGACACTCCCTCCCGAGGGAACCACATGGATAAGCTCAGTCCAGGGCCTGGCCACTTCTGCAACAGAAGGCCCAGGGGTGGGATATTGTCATCCTTGGGGGTCCTGAATGTAACTAACCACATGCCGCGTGATGTTCGCCCACACTGACCACATCACTCGTTGAAGCCTCTCTGCCACTCTCTCTGTCCCCTGGGCAGACATGCCAAGCTGTGTAGCCTGGGGATGCTACCTACCCTCTCAAGCCTCAGGTGCCTCCTCTGGAAAATGAAGGAGTTGAACTAGGGGAGTCCTGTCCTCCCTAGCTTCAAAAGCCTGCCAATCTAATACCCATGGCAGGGCAGCTGGAGTCCCTCCATGACCAGGTCCTGGCCTTCAGAACCTGAAACAACTGTTCCTTTAAAGCCTGCCCATCTGTACTAAGCACTAGCACAAGCTTCTTTTGTTCCCTTTTGCTGCCTTCTCCTGCTCTTGGCACAAGTTCACGTATCAACACCAAGGAGAACCCTCTTCTTCCTTCTTTGCCCTCCCCGGAAACTTCCGGACAGCCCATAGTGCAGCGGTGGTTTTTAGCTTGAAGCCTTGTGACTTCAGTCTGGAAAGTTTTGTCTTCTGAGAAAAAGACCCGAGGAAGCCAGGGGTAGCTGAGGGTCCTCTTGTCTCCCCTAGGCCTCCCAGAGCAGGCGGTTGCACTCTACTGGGGGTTGGTCAGACAAGAAGCTATCTTTGCCTCTTTCCAGAGGGCATTTCTAATTAGGAGCAGGAACTCCAAAACTGTGAGATTCTGCTTCATTTGAGTGTTTACAGAAAAAAGTGGCCAGAGGGGTTTTCTCTGTGGGGTCTCTGCTTGGGTGAGGGGGCTGGACAGCTGCCTGATTGAAATGTCCCCTGCCCCAGCCCCTCCCCACCCTCACCCCCACTCCAGCTCCAGAAGGTGTAGGGTCTCGATCACAGGCCAGCTGATGGGATGATGAGTTTATACAAAGACAGCTCTGGAAGGACTTAGCTTGAACATGGAGGCGACTGTAACATCACACCGTGCCTTCAGTTCTTGAGTTGTTGAGATTGTGGTCATGCCTTAAAGCATGTGCTTTAAGCACAAGCTGTCCCATCTCCTGCTTGGCCAACAAAGGGTCTCATGGGCCCACCATCATTCAGAGGGATCTGATCTAAATTCAGATTGTGTACCTGTTTCCAGTTTTTTTTATTCTGTCTGCCAACTAATGATTCTAAACCAAAATTGAGAAAGAAATTAAATATGTTTGTGAAGGTGTATTTTCCAACTTTTAGACTTTTAATTTTAAGGCCCTAGTGAGGAAAGAAGAGTAGCAAGTTCTTCTTGATTTTATCAGCTCCTTTTTCCCTCCCGCAATTCCACACAATATCCTTGAGGCTATTCTTACCCTCGGATTGTTTTCTCATTGGCCAAGAGGTAAAAGATTACCTTTTCTGTGATTCTTTAGTAAACTATTAGAACATGCACAGTAGTTTTTCTACATTCATGTTAGAAGTATTTATTAATGTGTAGTCAATTTTAAGTTTTGAAATAAATTTGACCATGTTGAGTGTCATCTTGGTGTGATGACTCTGATGTTTTGTCTGTTGTGACTCCTTTTTTACCACCTACTTTCCCTTACTGATTTCCACACCATCTGTCATCTATCAAGTCATCCCTATGAATTTAAAATTGTTTAAAAAACAAAGTCAGTGTATTCTAGGGAGCAAGACGATAGGGAAAATAAAGATAAGGCTTAGGGATTAAAAAGATATATGGACATCTTTCTAGTCCCTAAATCTTTATCACTGATTAAAAAAATAAATTACTTGCATTATACACTTTTTTTCTTTTCTTATTTATTTGGCTGCATCGGGTCTTAGTTGTGGCATGTGGGATCTTCATTGCATCATACAGGATCTTTCATTGTAGCACTCAAACTCTAGTTGTGGCCTTAGTTGCTGCTCAGCATGTATGATTTTAGTTCCCCAACCAGGGATCAAACAAATGTCCCCTGCATTGCAAGGCAGATTCTTAACCACAGGACCACTAGTGAATTCCCAGTAATTTTTAACTTATGAGAACTTGATTATAATGTTTAGGCAAGCAAAAGGGTCCATACATAGCCATTACCTATTAAGAATGCTGAAAACTATTTACATTAGGGGAAAAGAAGTTTCTAACTGAAAGGCTGCTCAGTATTGTTGAGCAGGATGTGCACTGCTCAACTTCAGGGGGCCTTATTCACTCTGTAGTCTAGGTGATTGTCATCCCCTGGAATTTGCATTACACAATTTGCATTACACATTCGAATATTGTGGTCTGCAAAGAATTCAAAACATCATTATGGCTTCCTAATGGGGGCAATTGGAATGAAGGCTATCACTTGCCAAAGTAGATATGTAGAGTATAGGTATAGATATTATCCTGGAGTAGGAAATGGCAATCCACTCCAGTATCCTTGACTGGGAAATCCCATGGACAGAGGAGCCTGGTGGGCTATAGCCCATGGGGTTGCAAAGAGTCAGACACAACTGAGCAACTGAGCATGCATAGATATTATGTCTGAATTGCTTTGGCTCAGAAATCATCTGTGTGAGCATGCTTAGTGGTTCAGTTGTGTCTGACTTTGCAATCCCATGAACTGTAGCCTGTCAGGCTCCTCTGTCCATAGAACTTTCCAGACAAGAATACTGGAGAGAGTTGCCTTTTCCTACTCCAGGGAATCTTCCCAACCCCTAGAGTAGAGACCCAGGGATCCAACCTGAGTCTCTTGCATCTCTTGCATTGGCAGGCATATTCTTTACTACTAGTAAATAATCGGCCTTTCAGTGCAGAAATAAGCAAACCACACAGGGCAGAGCCCCAGAGTGATGAATATTGCCCTCAGTGATGAGGGTGAAGGAATGTACTACCTGTCATTCCATTTGAAGAACATAAGAAGCTGGGAAAAGGGCTGCTCAGCATTCACCCAGGATTGCAATTTAGAGTGGGGAGAAAAAAAATTGGAAAAGAATAATTTACAAGATAATTAGAAGAATATATATAAAGGGGGAATATGGATTCTTACATCATGTAACTGACAACAAGTCGGAAAAATAAAGCATTAAGTCTGCTAAATCTAACACCCTTCTGGAAAACAAAAACTAGAAGGAGGACTTGTAAGGTGAGGGCTTCCCTGGTGGCCCCGCTGGTAAAGAATCTGCCTACAATGCAGGAGACCCCAGTTCAATTGCTGGGTCAGGAAGATCCCCTGGAGAAAGGAGAGTCTGCCCATTCCAGTATTCTTGGGCTTCCCAGGTGGCTCAGATGGTGAAGAATCTGCCAGCAATGCAGGAGACCTGGGTTCAATCCCTGGGTTTGGAAGGTCCCCTGGAGAAGGGAACAGCTTACCCACTCCAGTATTCCCGCCTGGAGAATTCCATGGACAGGGGAGCCTGGCAGGCTACAGTCCATGGGGTCACAAAGAGTCTGACACAACTGAGAGACTTTTAGTTTGTGAGGTGAGAATCTTACATGCAGGTGGAAATCCCAAGACTAAGGAAAGATGTGAGGTGTGTCTTGCAGACACATAGGTACACATAGAGTGGCTAAAATCCTACCGATGGGAGATGTCTTTCAAAAACAGAATGAAGAACAGGCTTAGATTAAAAGAACAACCAGTTTTCCAATGCTTGCTGGTGAGAGAGCTAAGCAGTGCATCCATATCATTTCCTGTGGATTTCAGGTGAAGTCCTCTATGGACAAACCCCCTCCCATCCCTGGCTACCACCTATGTTACCCTCAGGGTAAAAATAAAACCACAAGAAGAATTATTTAAGATTTCATGTTCCATTTGTGTCTTGCTCCGAATAAGAAGTTTCATGACTGCATAGGGTGCTTCCCCATGTACACTGCAGTATTATTTATAAAAACCAAGATCTGAAAGCAACCTCAGTGCCCACCAATTGATGAACAGATAAAGAGGATATGATGTATATATACAATGAAATACTACTCTGTCATAAAAAAGGAGTGAAATCTTGTCATTTGCAATAACATGGATATACATTAAGGGTGTTACACTGATTTAAATAAGTCAGAGAAAGACAAATACAGTCTGATTTTACTCATATGCAGAATCTAAAGTTAAAAAAGCAAAATACAACAAAATCTCTTACATACAGAGATCAGATTAGTGGTCACCACAGGGGAAGTGGGTTATGGGTTGGATAAAATGGGTGAATAGAGTCAGCTGGATGGTAATGAATGGCAACTAGATTCATGGTGATTTTTCTGTAGTGTATATAGATGTTGAGCTATAACATTGTACACCAGAAGCTTTACAAAACAAAACTGCATAGAATAGATTAGGAGATGTCACAGAGAAAAGAGTGGAAGAAAAAGAAAGTTGGAATAAGCTTGATTATAAGAATAAACTCCATTTGAAATGATGGCCCTCAGTGATTTTGGCTCAGCTTGAGGGTAAAGGGAAGGTAAACTCAGATTTCACTGGAGGAGAGAAATGGGGATGGGGGAGAGTGTTTCTGGTGCCACTTTTGCTACTGGACTTTGAACTGCACTAAGGTACAGGGGAAAGACATATGGGTGTTTCTGGGGCAATCAGGTGATGCAGTACAAAGTACAGTCATTCTGACTCCTGGGACTTGGCTTTGAAAACCCCCACTGTGACTTACAGGCTTCTCTGTGGCTCAGCTGGTAAAGAATCTGCCTGCAATGCGGGAAACCTGGGTTCCATCACTGGGTTGGGAAGATCCCCTGGAGAAGGGAACAGCTACCCACCCCAGTATTCTGGCCTGGAGAACTCCATGGACTGTATAGTTCATGGGTTCACAAAGAGTCAGAGACGATTGAGAGAGTTTCACTTCACTTCTGTGACTTACACATCTGAGTATTGACTTCTTTATCCCTGAAATGAGAATCAGAAAGTACCCCCTCACTGGACTGTTGTTAGGACTCAATGGAAAAATACCTGTCAGTCCCCTGGCACGCGTGGGTGCTCAGCAAATCCTAGTTTTCTTCCTCCTGACCCCTCTGCCAGGGAAGTTGTCGTGGTAATCCAAGTTTTTAAGGCTTTGTAGCAATGGATTTCAACTTCTGGTTTATATCAGAACAGGCTGTGGAATTCTTTCCCTGAGCCTCCGTGTCAGGAATTCTGATTTCCTAAGTGTGCAGTGGGATCTAAAGTTTTGCATTTCTACTTTTTAACAAAAACAAGACTGGTAATTTTAATCAACATTAAAGTTAAAAACTACCAATAAAGTGCTTGAATCCCCACTGCTTCTAGTGTAGACATTAAAACTTAGCTTTAAAGGCTTTTCAAGAGCTGGCCCCCAGTACCTTTCCTAAGTAATTGCTCATTTGCCCCCAACTCTGGACACCTGCCCTCTCCCTGATCCTGAGAGACCAGTAGCACCAAGGGACCCTTGAGGACCAGAACACTCTCTGCTTCCTGTCTCTTTGGCCCCCTCATTCTTCTTCATCCTTCAGGGTCCAGCTGGATTCCTTAGCGCCTCACCCTTCTCTCATATTCCTCTCTCCACGGCTGTGGTCGACCTTACACCTCTGAACTTCTCCATTATCTGCTTGCATCAGGCATTTAGGAACAGTTGCTTACTGTGTTGGCTGAAGTTACCAACTCTGCTTCCTGTTTTAGGGTTTGTGTTCTTTGGGGTCAGAGAAGTGTCTGTGTCTTACAACTCTTTCAATCCTTCCTAACACTGTGTAGCAGGTGCACTATAAATAGCTGTTAATTAAGTAAAGTGAATGAATTAGTTACTAGTCACGACAGGAGGCTCCAGATACACGTCTTGAGCTTAGAGAGATCACTGCAGCTGTAATAGCAAACATTTCCTCTCTGCTACCACCATTCTAAAGACTTTGCAGATATGAACTCAGCTAATGTTCATAATAAATCTAGGAGGTTTATCTCATATTATTCCCGTTTTATGGATGAGAAAATTGTGCCTGGAATGATGATAAGACTTGTCCAAGAACACACAGCTAGGAATTGTCCAAGTTGAAATTCTAGCCAGGTCGGGCTGACTCCAGAGTTCATGCTTTTAGCCTCTACTTTAAATTTCCCCTTCATAAGTGCTGACTATGAATGCTAGGAACTTGGCTACATACCACACGAGTTTTCCACTTAATTTGTACAATTCATTTTTTTCTAAAATTTGGAGACATATTTGAGTCTGGGTTTTGATTTGAACTTGCATCATTTCACTATAGTTAATAGCAGTTTATGGTAGAATGGCCACACTTTGAATTAACCCAACCATGCTGTGACTCCATGTCTACCTTTTTCTAAGTGAATGTTATTTTGCATCATCTTTTTCAAATTGATCTGATAAGTTCTCAAAAAAAAATTAGCTTCCTTATACTCAATCTACAAGTAATGGAAGACATTACTTTGATTGGAAAGAAGAGAGAAGTTGCACAGTCTAGAAGTGTTTCCTATGGCACAGAGTGGAGGAATGATTGGAAATGGGTTATTTATTGGGTTGTGTCCCCAGTTTGCAAATGAAGGAAATGTGTTTAGTCATACTGGGGAAGGGCCCCAAGGTGGTCGCCCAAGGAGATTCAAACACAGATCA